TTTTTTTTCAAATTTTGTCTTTTAAAGAGGAACAAAGATATCACTATACTTCTCTAACTTTTAAAAGCGAATGCTATAGAAAAACAACAAAAACATTACAAAAGCCTTTTTTATGTTTTGGTTTGTATGGTACTATTTTTCTTGTGTTTAAAAAATTCAAAAGAATATGTATATTGTTTTCTAAATTTGGGACAAAATTTCTTTAAAAATTTAATAGGTCTTTATTATAAATTTCAGTACAAATATATCTGACATAAAAGTGTTCTTAAATTTCATTGTGACAAAAATTAAATTTTCAACAGTTTTGAAATGAAAAATGAAAATATTATAAAAATATTTGTCCAAATTTTATTCTGGTTTATTTATGGAAAAAAATATAAATCTATAGAATATTTTGTAAAAAAAAATTCCTAAACAATTTTTAAATAAAAACGAAAATATTATAAAAAGTATTCAGTTTAAATTTATTTTGCTTCTTTATGGAAGATAGTTTTAACAGATTTTGTAAAAGATATTGTTTTGATTCAAATTTGCCATGTTACAATTTTTCAAAACCATGTCATATTTATTTTTGAAAGAGTGAATATGGAGAAGACATATAAGCAAACTCTAACAAATTACTCCCCAAATAATATATTTTTTCTAGAGGTAAAAATAGAGATGAGTTGGAATAAATTTTACTCTAAAATAGAGTTTAGAAATACAAACAGAGGTGGGTTGGAGATGCTCTTAAAATGCGAACACTTTGAGCTAAACTGTCACTTTTTAAGCACTTTAATAAAATAACTGCTAATCTCTAAAAATTTATGGGGATTTTTGTTTTTCTGTCATCTAAAATATTTTAAAAAAATTTAGGAGTAATAAAAAGCATACAAATAAAGTCGATGGATACATAATTATTTCTGAAAACTAAACTTTAAAATAGAGAAACATACAAAATTACAAATTTTTCCAAACATAAAGCCAAAAAATAAAGGGTTAATTGCATGAATAACCAAAAAAAAGTTAATTAAAAAGTAAGTAAAATGAGGGTATGTTGCAAAATCATAATCATTGGATGTAGGGTTTTTGGTTAGATTTTAGATTATATTTTTTTTTATGTTATTTTTGCCAATTTCCCAAAAATGGGTTAATTGCATGAATAACAAAAAAAAAAGTTAATTAAAAAGTAAGTAAAATGGGGGTATGTGGCAAAATCATAACTA